GAAGATCTAGGTATGAACATTGATAAAATCACTAGGTGAAATCACTAGGTCAACAGGGTATTTTCAAATGGATAGATCAAGTTGATAACACCCAAATCCAATGATTGGTTTTTATTTCATTAAAAGTAGAACAATTAGATATTTAGGTGCCTCCTGCCTCAACAAAAAGTGTACTGCACCATTTAAGTTTTCTTGTCAGGAAATGTGAGACTGATTCAAATTTAATCAAAGCCCCTAAATCTACTAGATAACAAAAATTATGGAAGAAGGAAGCAACCAGCCAAAATCCAGATTTGGTATATTCTACCAGACAAATGACCCTACTTCTTCAACAAATAAGTATCATAAAAGGTCGTGAGATTCTTACAGATTAAAATAAATTTAAGAGACAATCCAACAAAAAGAAATGAGTGGCCCTTGCTTTGATCCCAATTAGAATAAACCTAATATATAAAAGACATTTGAGACAATCAGGTGAAATTTAACAACATAAATTGGGTATTAGAGGATAGTAAAGAGTTTATGCTTTGGCTGTTAATGATGTTGACAGAACTTTAATCAAACTTGCAAGACAGCAAAGGAAATCCTGATCAAAGGAGAAGACCAGGGCAAGGTGCCAAAGGACCTGACTACTCCCATGGGAGCAACCAATGTCCACTGGGGTAAGCCCGAGTACAGCAGAAGGGCACGCCTGACCAGAGATCCTGAATAAAGCCAGAACCCTCAGGAAGGGAACAGCCAGAGAAAAAACTACCCTCCAGAGACCAACAGTATGGAAACCTTCTGACTTAACTCTAGTGCAGGGAGCATAAATCTCCTAGAGAATTCATGGCACGGCCCTCCTTCCACCTAATGTTTAAGTGTGTTTTGGGGCCTGAATTCACACTATTTGGAATGGTCTGAAAAAAATGTCTATTTTGGTCCAGAAAATCCCATTTCCAGGAATCTCTCCCTAGATAGTCAGATATAACTGGGGTGCCTAGGTGGCTCAGTCAGTTAGATGTCTGACTCTTGACTTCAGCTCAGGTCATGATCTCACAGTTCATTGGTTCAAGCCTGGGGTCGGGCTCTGCGTAATAGTGACAAGCTTGCTTGGGATTCTTTCTCTCCCTCTTTCTTTGCCTCTCCCCTGTTCATACTTTCTCTCTCAAAATAAATAAATAAACATTAAAAAAAAAAAAAAAGATAGTCAGGAGCGCCTGGTGGCTCAGTCAGTTAAGCGTTTGACTTCGGCTCCAGTCATGATCTCACTGTTTGTGGGTTTGAACCCCGCATCAGGCTCTGTGCTGACAGCGCAGAGCCTGGAGCCTGCTTCAGATTCTATGTCTCCCTCTCTCTCTGCCCCTCCCCTGCTCATGTTCTGTCTCTCTCTCTCTCTCTCTCAAAAATAAACATTAAAAAAAAAAAAAGATGGTCAGTTATAACTAAATAAATACAAGATGACATGTGTACAAGGTTAGTCAACATGGCCTTGTTTGTAATAGAAATAAAGTGGAAACAATCCAAGTGTCCAGTAGAGGGAACTGGTGGATAAACTTTGGTGCAGCCACACAACGGAGTCCTAGGCAGACATAAAAATAATGGAATGATCTCTGTGTACTAGTGGGGACTAATCTTGGGGCTGTCTTGATAAGCAAAACAAAGTACAGAACTATATATATATATATACACACACACACACACACACACACACACACACACACATAGATACATATATATATACACACACATATGTATATGAGAGAGATCTTTTATATAAAAAAGAATAAGCACATGCATATTGCCTATATTTGCAAAAAGAAACACTGAAAGGATAAGTGAAATGATAAATGAGAAAAATGATAGGGCAGGTAGGGAGAAAGGGGTAGACAGGGGTGGTGGTAAAACTTCATTTGTTGTATATAGCTTTTATATAGTTTTGACCTTTTAACTACCTATTTTTAAAAATTAAAAAACCCAAAAGCCAATAGTTAAAAACGAATCTAGAGAGGTAGTGCCCCGGATGCCTGACAAATGCAAATCCTTTCCAGATGAATGTGCCCTTGGCCTAAAGGACTGAAGGGTCAGAATGGAGAAGCCTACAACCACCCAGGGGTCCTGACAGGGCCTGGGCTTGGTGGTAACTGCACCTTGGAGGCAAAGCGTAGGGAGTTGAGGGACTCGGACACGTTCTCTTCCAGAGGGGAAATGTTCACAAACATGAGCCTGTGGAGAGAAGAGAGGGGGCCAAACCCCCGCATCAGTGGCTGAGTAGAGCCTGGACCAGGTTTCCATTTTCCTGCCCCTGACCCCAGCATCACAGTCTCCACCCAATGCCCCCTCCTTTCTAAATCTTATTTATTTAGGTAATCTCTACACCCAACATGGGGCTCAAACTCACGACCCCAAGATCAAGAGTCACATGCTCCTCTGACTGATCCAGCCAGGCACCCCTCCACCCAACCTCTTCTATCCGTCTGTCCCTTTCACTCACATCTTAGCGCTGCCACCCAGAGAGTTCTGCAGCAGGTAGGTGAGCTTGCTGTTCCGGTAAGGCACATGGGACTCCTTGAGAGTTGAGGGGGATAGGTGATTAGGATAGGACAGGGTTCAGCATGACCAGCCCCAAACCATCGCAGGTCCCACCTGCCAACATCCCCATGCCCACCTTGTTGCTCAAGGCCATGATGACCAGCCCCAGGGTAGACAGGCTGCTGTTAATGGCTTGGGTTTCCCGAAGGCGTTCCCGCTCCCCAGGGCCAAGGGTTAAGCCAGGGTCTAGCCGCTCACTCCCAGCCAGGTCCACAAGGCTGAGGGGGGCCCCACATTGCAGGCCTCGCCCAGCGTGCTCCCCAGAGATCTGCAGCTGGAACACACTGTGACTGCGTGATGATCGCTCATTCTGGGCTGTGCGGGCCACAGCCCGGTTCTGGTGGGCCAGATGGAGCAGGGCCTCCACCTGGGGATGGGGAACAGCAAGGGGCAAAAGCAGGCAGGGAGTCAACGCATAGCTATATCAGTAGCAATTAACAAGAGTCAGCACCTGCCCTCTTGAAGCTTCCTTTCCAGACAGTGAAGAGACAAAATAAATAAAACGCACAGAATAGCTGAGATACTAAGGAGCAAAACAAAACAGAATAAGGAGTATGTGAAAGTAGGGTGAGAGTTGCAATTTTAGACACAACGGCCAGGAACAGCTTCAGTACCTTAAACTCCTAAGGCAGCGAGGGAGCAAGCCACTCTGGGAGAGGAACATTCAGGCAAAGGCCCTGCTACAAGAACATGACTAGCAGGCTAAAGAACAGCCAGGAGGCCAGCATGGCCAGAGTGAACTGGGCAAGAGGAGTAGTAGGAGCTGAGGCCTGAGACGCAGTGGGCCGGGGCCGGAGAACACCCTGGCACACGTGTCACTCCACTCCCTAGTTCTGTACGACGGACAGATCTACCTTCCAGCCCGCCAGCCAATGCTGATGTGGCGACCCATCCGCACAATGTACCCTCCCCTCAGCCTTCGACTTTCTCCTGCTCCCTTCTGCATCCACCTGCATCTGATGCCACCCGATCCATTCCTCCCCGTCTTCCAGTCCCAGGGCCCATCAGTCCTTACCTCTTTCTCACAGGAGACAGGAACATATCGGGCATTGGTGACAGTAAGCTCCTCGCTTCCTGGCCCTGCCCGGCGAATCTCACACTCGCCGCCCTGGCCCTTCCGGGTCCCGGTGGCCAGCAGGTCTCGGACAGTCTCATTATAGATCTCTACATAGCTTGCCACAAAGCTGTAGGTCCAGCCCTGGCTGCCCAGCTCCTGGGCCACGGAGAAGAGATGCCGCAGGGCCCGAGGGATCAGCCCCTCCACCTGGGGGTCTCCCCTAGGCCCACCCTCCATCGTGAAGGTCTTGCCACTGCCTGTCTGGCCGTAGGCAAAGATGCATACTGGGTAGCCATCCAGGGCTGACTGGACAAGCATGGCAATCTCCTCAAACACTTCGTCCTGTCCACTCCCTGGTGGGAAGACCCGGTCAAAGGAGAAGTCATGGCGGGTGGGGGGGGCCGGCGCCCCACTCAGGGTCCCACG